TTCTGGCGGCTTGTATTCCGTATCCCCGCCGGGATCATCATTCTCTGTCTCTCCTTCGCGGAGATGCAGATTACCTGGCTTATTGGACTGACAACGATGATCCTTGGAGTACTTTTCATCTATGAGGTGGTGGTTATGGTACCGATTCATTTAGCAGACTGCCAGCATGAGGTGGTGGACGGCAACGGGATTGTCGTCCTTGCCGAGGTTGGTGGGGACCGTCTGGGCCCTGCCGTCGAGATAGAGTTGAGACTTAGTACAGGCTCTAGACACGTCTAGAGGCGCAAAGTATTGTAAATACGTCTATTACTGTACTTTCAAAGTGATCAGTATGTCGGAAAATGGCTCTCCGTTTGGATTTGGGACGTTTCCCATTTACTTCTCTCCACCCAAGTCGTTTCACCTTTAGGTATATTGCGCCGGTGATGGCCATGTCCATGTATATAGACTGGCACCTGCGAGGCTTGAGTCTTACGCATGCTTTTGGGACCATCCTCCGATAGGAGAATTACGAGTATCACTCTTTGGACAGCAATGCGATGGAAATAAAGAATATGCGATATTTTAACTAGTCTTAGACCTTACGAGCATTTACTTAGAATACAAGCCAAGACATACCAATCGGGGTTGGATCTACAGAATAGAGCTCAAAGTTTTTGTATACAGTATTAAATGCTAGATATTTCACAGAGGCCTCGAAATATGGAACAAAGTTAAGGAAAGACAAAGGGTATATGGTAAGCTTGGTAAATTTAAAATTATCAGCCAAGAGATCATTCACTCTACCAATGATTAAGTGACGCGGCAATCATCAAGGAACTTTCCCCGTTAGGCTTTGAGGTTGAAAAGTGCAATGCAACACTTACATAAAGGAAAATTTCCTTTGTCGCTGGAGTGAGTCAAATGCCTGCTATTGGAGATACAGTCAACCGTAAATTCGCAGAAATTAGGTGTCGCTTTTCCGTGTCCGTATTCTAGAGAAATACTATCTTCCTTATACCCTGGTCAATATAATGAAATATAGCCCCCTAAGTATGTGTTTTGTACCAGATACTCAAGTGGTGGCTGCCACACTTGATCGATTATCCCTCTGGTCCAAGGTACGAGGCTGGCTATCACTCAGAATTTCTTTATACACGTGGTCCTACGTTTAACCAGCGCTGAACTTCTATATGCCGAACCTTTCACCGCTTTATTATCTCCCCTTGGAACTGCGTTCCGGATTCCTAATATTATCTTAGTCAATTCTATTATGGTGCATGGTTCTACTCCTACTTCGTATGCCGTTAGGTTAATACGGACAGTCCAGAAGCTAAGTCTGTTGCACATGGTTGTGCTGCAATGCTGTAATGCTAGCGTATGCAGAGAACAATTATTGCTTTTTCGCATATGCATAGACATTCCAAACTATTCATGCCCGCCCCAATCCGGCTTATCCTTGTCTAGACCACTTTCTTGGCTGAATTTAAGGGTTCACTTCTCACTCCTTTTTCCAGTTAATAGTTCATCTATCCCTCAACCGGTTTCTTTGTACACAT